GTTGAAGAGCATGTGAACTTCTGCTGGTAGACTCCAACTACCCCCAAACAACGAAAGTAGCCAAGCCCAAAGGTCTGCAGAAAAGGGACAAGATACTAGTAGATGGTAACAATCCTCACCGTGAGCTCTACAGAGGATACACCAATTAGGAAAAATACAGAGAAAAGGTCTTCTCTTTTGTAGGTTGTCTAAAGTGTTTACTTTCCCATGGAATACTTCCCAATAAAAGTGGTATTTCATCTATAATAAAAGTGCTGCACCTGTCTTCAACTCCTTGGTCAAGTTTGGATTCCATAAAAAGTTTATTTATGATCAAGGAAATCATACCATCTTTTCAAGATATGGAAATCATCGGTTCACCAAGAAAAATATTCAACTCAGCATCAATCCTAGTAGCTATATAGGGTCAGCTACAGCCTACATGAATTTTGTCCCACCAATGTGCTCTATCAAAAGCCTTTCCGTCTGTTGAGATTTGAGAAAATAAGTATTATGTGGACCTGATTGATTCTGTAGTTGTTATTTACTTTTCTCCATTTAGTTTGGTCCTGTTAAGTCAGTTAGTGGGTCCATGGGCCTTATGGGGGTATTTATGTAATATTACATCACATTATAAGAGAGTATAAATTCTGGCGGAACTCCAATTTGAATCTCCCAATCTGTTCCTCCCAGAATTTTTCAACCACCCTGTTCTAATTCTATAGGCATAACCTTATTCAATTTCCTCCTCATTATGGATGACTAATCCAAGGTGGAAGCAGTTATTGGGTATCTCCTAACCACCAGTCTTAATTGGACTACCATTGCACTACTATTACTAAAATTGCAATGCAGGTATTTTACCTTTTGATTTTTTTTTTTATGAATGAAAATAATTTATTAATCCAGAAGTAATAAGGCAATACAGGAAACCCAAAAAGAGGCACGAGCTGTTACCTCTTCTAATAAAGTATTACATCAAATTGAAACAGAAATAGCCCGAAGTAAAATTAAGAGCAGCCCAAAATAAATGTTCCCTTGAAGCCCCCTGCTTAGCTAACCCATCCACTAAGGTATTTGCTGATCTTCCCACCCAAAGAGGGGTAACAGTCATGTTTCTTGTGAGCCAGTTGACTTTCCTCAATAAAGACTTTTTAACCTTTTGATTTTCCAAAGACTTTTTAACCTCTTCTTTAATACAATTTTTTTTTTTGAACCACATATCATTAATTTCTTTCCCTACATTCCATTTTTTCAGCTTTTAATTTGCCCTTAAATTTTATTTACTTTCTCCTTTTTTATTCCACCACGTAAGTTTAGGGCACCCAATCTCTTTCTTCTTTTTCTTCTTTTCCTTTTTCATCCATCTTTTAATACAAACATCTAAAACTGCCAACCTATTTTGTATAATTAGACTTTTACTTGGGATAACCTTGTGATCTTTTCACATTAGTCGTTATATTATTCTAATAAAAAAATTATTTTCTTTTATTAGATTGGCTTTTAAAAGTGATTAAATGTCAAACTTTCCTCTTGAAGTATGCGACTATATTTGTTATTTCAAGATTGATGCTCCTGCAAAATCTAAAATGGTATCCCCCTGCCTCATTTCTTTTATGCTTTATGCACCTTTTTTCCCTGTATGACCATTTAAATACTTCCAATACATATTCCCCAAATTTTTTAGTGCTTTTGTCTCATCTTACTTGAGGCACATGAACACTAATTATTTTAATTATCTTTTCTCCAAAGATAAAATTAATTAATATGATTCTATTTTTAAATTAAAATGTACAGCTTCATGTTTGAAATCCTTTTCTATTATTATCCTGACCCTATTTTTATTAGTAACCTTCCCTATGTACCAAACTTTATATTTGTCAATCTCATTAGCTTTATCCCCTTTCCATTTCATCTCTTCTAAATACACTGGTAATTCATCTTGTTTCCATTGTATCCACTATTTCCATCCTCTTGCTAGTCAAAGGTCCATATTGCTAAAATAATATGCCTTCTTTACTTGCACAGTTGCACTTATCCATCAAGGTGTAGGAACACTGGCTTACTTACCACTGCAGATGGGTTCATTGTAGTTCATTGTTTACAAAGAACACTATAGTGGTGAAACCTCACTAGTTTATCACTTCATCATGTCAATGCAGTATGCCATCATCTGGACAATGCCCTAGTGTTGCCTTAGATGATATATAATTCATATTGTATTGGATTGACAAAATTTTTTTTCCTTTGTTTCCCAAGATTCCAATCTGACCCAGCCCTCCTTTATCTGGGCTTGGAATTGACAGTGTAAGACAAACTAATATTTATGGAGTTGCACCAAGAAAAATAAAGATATGAAAATCAAAGAGAAATTTTTCAAAGAGAGCAGAAGACCAGACCCTCTTTCATGAGATGAATATGATTGGATCTGAAGCCTATAGTCGTCAATGAACTCCATTTCCAATGGGAAAATATAGGGATGTAGCTTGGGCAGGCTCAAGTGCCCAACCTAACCCAAGCCTGACAAACCCACCCAAGCATGGAGGAGCAATCACCAATTGGATAATATGAAACAATGCCTGTCTCTGTGGGTTATTGTGATATCTGAATAGTAGGATCAATTAGTTAATTTGGAGCTATGGGTTTTCATTGACTTTCTGTTTATTGCTTTTTCCTTCTCTACTTCTTTGGTTAAAAGAGATCAATAAGAAATTCCAGTCTCTTTTAAGGCAAATTTACTATACAACAGGTTGTAGATCATCTGCCATCCCCCCCCCCCCAGAAAAAAAAAAGAAGAAAAGAACCCCGAAGAAAGGCAGTATCCAATCCCAAATCTCCACAAGTAGCAGGAGATTTTACCAGCAAGTTGGCTGTTGCTGACTAACCTTGAAGCTTCTTTCAGATTGGCACTGTATATCCTAATGATATTGTTACTTATTGTGTTCTCATTGGTTGTAGAGAGGAAGAACATTCTAGACTATCTGCTGAGCTTAAGGACCAACCAAAAGTTGCTTCACGAAAATCCTATATTCAGAGGATTTCTGAGATCACAAAGAACAGTAGGAAACAAGATGCTGATATTGAGCGGATATTACAAGAGACTAGAGAGCTTCAGATAGAGAGTAATTCCATCCAAGACCGTCTCCATCGAACTTATGCTGTGGTTGATGAAACCATATTCAGGTACAAAAGTGAGATGATACAAACTGAATAAGAGGAAATTGATTTTAGGGTAGCTAGAAATATGGTTGCTGTCCTTTTATTTTAGTACAATGGCATAGTCTACATGCAGAAAGTCTTGATCACCTTCCACAGGGTTCAAGTCCATTTTAAGAGAAATTCAGCTTCCATGATTATTCTAACTATCCATTTTTCTTTTCAAGAGATCAAAATACATGTTAGGCAATCCAAAAATGTATATAAAATTGTATTGATTGACATTAGGTCAATTTTGATCTGCGATTGTTTTCTGACATCTTTGTTATCCATATCTGTTGCTTGTACATCATAGCACGGTATCTTTGTTAAAATGACGGGGTTATGATGGAAAACTTTTTCACATGAATAGTATGTTTAGAGCCTTAAACTGGTAACAGACAAGTGATTTTTCTATCAGTAATAAGATCAACTGCATTTATTAAACAAACCTGTCAAAAGAACATAAAAATCCTACTCCTATAAGTGGGAATATGGCTGACACAGTCTTAGGTGGATCTACCTCAAGTCCTATTCTGTTCAGGCTTCCCCTTTTATTATTCATAGTTTTGGCCTGTCCTGACTATTTGCTTCTCCTTTCACAACTAGTTGTTTGTCTCAAAGCTCCATTATATTCTTAATTCGAGATTACAATGTTTCAAAATGATCATAAAAAAGATCTTTAATTATTCATTGCTGGTTCGTGTCTTAGGGATGCAAAGAAAGATTCAGTGAGTCGGCAGGCTTATAGGCTCCTTACGAGCCTCCACCAGAGCTTTGAACAGATCTCAGAGAAAATCCTTGCCACTGACAGAGCTCGGAGGGAGATTGCTGAGCACGAAGCAAAGCTTGCAGCAATGGCCTCTCGTAGTTTAGACATCAATAGACTACAAACTGATCTTGATGCCATCAGGAGGGAGAATGAGTTCTTGGAGCAAAGATTGCATAACAGAGAGATGTAAATACCCCCCTCCCCCCTCCAGAATGTGATTTTTCATACATCACTTGTAGATTAAGTCCATTAATTTTTCTAGAATCTAAATTTTGAGTTTAACAATGAAAATTTTAGTTTCATTTATTTATTATGATTGTCTATTTTCCTTCCCCAATTGTGCTATGCCTTTGTAAAATTCATGGCTCTTAAACCTGTCAAGTAGTTTCAATATTTTCATGTAATCATCGTTGTCACCCTATGAGCTTAAAAATTCTACGTTGTAACTGAAATCATATTCCAAATGTTCAATTTTCTAGGGTGTAAGTAATCACTGAGAATATGTTTCAGTAGACCCATCAACTTCTACCAGGATTATGAACACATTCACAACCGCAGGATGGACGCAATAGATTTTTTCAAATTACTAATAGCAAGTTATTGTTGCACTGCATCCGGTTAAATGTCTGTCATTTCTCACCTTCTAGGATGTTTTAATCATGTTTAGATGCTTGTTGGTCTTCAGTTCAGATCCTGCTCTCATGAGCATGTACGAGTTTGAAGCAAGGTTCACGTTCATATTATAAGAAACACTGTTTTCGAAACCGGACAGGAAAAACCAGGAACCGGTCACCTAACCGGTTCCGTTTTCCTCCAAAACCACTTTTTCCTCCAAAACCGTTGATTTTGGTCAGAAAACCGCTGATCCGGCTGGTTAACCGTTCGAACGGTTTTGACCGTTTTCCAATTTTTTAAATTTTTTTATTTTTTTTTGTTAGAATGATCCGAACGGTCGAACCGTTCGAACTAGTAACCGGACCCCTGACCAGTTCGATCACCAGTTCGTTTTTAAAAACCATGATACGAAACCCTAAACCCTAGGCCAGTGTTGAAGGCTTAATTAAAAATTAAAAGAAAAAAGCAAGACCTAATCTGCGTCGTGTATATTCAGGGGAAGGGAGCTGTGAAACGCACTTCCATGTTTTCTTTTTGCAATTTTAGTAAATAAATCAATTAAGCAGTAATCATTTTTTGTTTAGATATTGTGTTCCATATGGATTATGCACCATGTTCCATCTCTTTTTTTCTTGAATTTGAATATTATTATTCGTACAAGTTTTTTTGATATCTTTAGAGGGGCTTTTCCCTTTTCGATATCTTTAATAAGTTATCCTCAAATATATATATAAGCTACACAACGGGTGTAGCCCAAGGTTCAAAATATCAGGCGAATCGATGCTCATTTTGGTGGGTTTTTTTTTTTACTTTTTTTGCCAACTGGTTCAGAGGAGCCGGTTTAGGTCTTCACACCTTGAACCGGTCAAACCACCAATACACCCACTGTAGGGGCATATCAGTAGGGTGTCGGAACGATACGTATCGACTGATACGAGCCGATATATGTCGATACTCTGAACCTTGGTGTAGCCTGCCCCCTTACTCGTACCCCTCCCCCAACCCTGGTGGCGATGAGATTTGATCCCAAGTCTCCGCTACAAAATAACTTCCCAATTGAGACACCATCAATTTGTCTTTAGGGGGCCATTTCCCAGCAAGTTCGCTTGCCAGTATCCAGAGATTACTTTACTTTGAACCTTGGATAAATGTTGACTCAAGATGGGCATTCTGCAGACTAGAGAAATTCACCCGAGGAAATTTCTGAAAAAGGACATTACTACCTTTTCTGCAAATTCCGAAGGAAACCCGTTCTGCCGGAAAGATATAATTGGTTACACTTGTATCGATTTTTAGGTTACAAGTTTTTTAGAATTTATCCCAATTTTACATAGATACAGTTCGGTTCAGTTCACTACAGTAAGAGGTGTTTGGACCCATGTTAAATATGGACGTTTTGGGCTTTCAAAATTCTTTTTCCTTTGTGATTTGACGACACTAGACTCATTGGCTCTTCTTAATCCTATCCACCGAGCAGTTGCTATGTAGTGTACGCTGTAGTATATCGCCCCCCCCCCCCCGGTCCACAAAACCACAAACAAAGAATGGCCTGTTTTTCTTAATTCTTAAACGAATTTTAATCTTCTCTTTGGATTCTGCGAGGCCCAAGCTAGTGCTTGCTTCTTCTGGTTAGCAATCTGACAGAATAGATACAGATGAACCCACCAAACCATCCGTTAAGTTAACAATTTTTGCTTGATCAAAGACGAGAAACAACAAAGGAAATGAAACTTATTGATGTACAGAAGATTAAGACGAAAGTATAAAATATCAAGCAAAGTGCATATGTTAGGAATGACTTGAAAGAAGTCAGGATACAATAAACAGAGACTTTTGTTTATCATTTTCTTTAGATAGATTTTTAATACATAGCAACACCCAAAGATCTCCCAAAGGTTAAAAGACTACCAGTTAAAAAGAGAGGATCAGCTCTTACCATCTGAACTAATGAAGATATGGAGCTTGGTACTGATACCCATTTCCAAAGTAGTTGCCATGGCTAGGAGAGAGGCTATAGGCAGAAGCCAGAAGTGAAGAACCGTGGTTGTCAGTGTGTCCAGGGTAGACGTATGGCCTGTCATACATGTACGGTGGATACCTATCAGGTGCTCTAGTATAGAAGCTCTTATCAGGGAAGTTAGTGACCCGGGGCCCATATCCCCCACCATTAGCACGGGGCCTCTTGGATTGGGGTTTTGCAGTTTCGGCCACTCTCTTCTTGTCAGCCTTTGCCTTCTCAAGTTGGGCCACCCTTTTATGGAGGGGGTCCACTGGATACTGCTCCTCAAGCTTGTGGTCTTCAATGCATTTGATCACTGCCTTAAGGGCACTGAGTTCTCGCTCATTCACCTCATTCTGAGACAAAGTAATTATGTAAGAAAATGCCAGATGAGTTAGTTAAGTGTAATTCATCATGCTGATCAAAAAACCAATATCATCATCATCATCTTGATCCCATATTCGTAATCAATCATGAGCAAGAAAAGAAAGAATATATGAATAGATATGCAACAGAAGGCAATTACATATATAATATGATAAACATAAAGGAAAAATCTATGATGTGGGAAAGACATGGTAATGGGAAGAGTTTTGACCAATCAAAACCCACCCATGAATTTTGATAAATAACACCTGATTGGCTACCACATTTACAATTCCAGTTGATTGGTCAGAAGTTTTTCAGATATCATATCCTTCTGGTATCATAGTCGAACCCTAAACATAATGGCAGACTAAATCATCTTTCACACCTTAATTTGTCCAGAGAGTTACCAATTCAGAGAATTTAATCAGTACAATCAAAGCCAGCTGGAATTGTAATTCCTTTCCAATGACATCAATTATTTTCACCTAAAAATTATTCATATATTAGCATTCCCACATTTTAGTTCTTGATGTGAAGATTTGTATTGTTCATGGCTTAGACATGAACAAATATTGGCCCCACTGACCTGCCATGACCAATGCACGATGCAGAGGAATTTTTTTGATAATAAAGAACAACTCATTAAAAAGAAAAAAGAGAATACAAGAATGAAAGGTGATAAGCTATCACCTGAGAAAGAAAGAAAAACACCTGAGATACAGCTTACAACCACCAAAATAAACAAGACTCCAAAACAAAACAACAACAGAGCCCTCCCGCAACCACCCAAAACAACAAACACAACCAACCCCTGACCCCCAAATCCAAAAACCACCACCAACCAGCAACAAAACCAGACAGAGAAACACCAATGAGAGCCACCTCTAATCCTCCCCCTTGAACATCTCCTCCTGGCCAACATCAGCCTTGATCCAGGCTTCTCCCCATTCCCCAACTGAAACCTTCAACTCTCTTCCCTCCTCTCGAACTCTTCAATTGCTCTTCTAGCAAAAGGCTCACCACCCAAAAAGAACAAACCAAGACTTTTGCCAACTTGAACGTTTTTCTCAACAATTTTCTCAAGAACCAGACATCCTCGCTTTTCCACTTTTTTTTTTATCAATAACACTTTCATTAATTCATCAGTAGAAAATTTACAAGTGGAAGACAAACACACTTATCTTCCAAGAGTCACAAAGAGCTTCAAGAAAGGAAAAAAGAAAAAGACACTAACTTTACAGCTTAGCCCAAAACAAAGAATCCCTTTCTGCCCCTTGTTTAGCTAAATCGTCAGCTAGGGAATTAGCTGATCTTTTAATCCAACATGTCTTAACTTCCAGCTCCCGCACCAGCCACTTGAATTTCCTCCTCTCATTATTGTACTTCCATAAATCATTTTGATCTTTAGTCAGCCACCCTATCACCACCTCTGAATCCCCTTCAATTATGAGTTTCTTGATGTTCAATTCCTTAGCTTTCCGGACTCCTTCCATAACTGCAAAGATCTCAGCTCTAAGGGAGTCA